CCCTACTCGGTCCAGGCAGCCTTGGCCAAGGAGGGCTACATCACTTTGCAAAACATAGCCGACCGCTGGGACGATGCATCGGCTGCCAGAACCAATGGCCCCAAGGACTTAGGCTTTGCTAGTGGCGACAATGGGTTCACGCCTCAAAGCAGCGCTTTCACTGCCATGCGCCTCTTTCAGGCGATCAAGGCGGCTAAAGACATGACCAAGAACCTCTATGCGCCTCGCTCCAGTGTCACCCCTGGCCAGGCCTCTTCAGAACGCTCAGGCCTGGAAGTGCTGTGTGACCGGCACCAGCTCCTCACGGAGTGGACTAAGGAGACTGGGCTCCCGAAGCCCAAACTCGAAGCCCAGGGGAGTGACACCCTCCTCAAGGCGCAGTTTCGCTTCTGCTCAAAAGGGGAACTCGGCTTCATCAATGCGAAATACATCATCAGTGCCCTGCCTGAGCTTGAAGAGAAGCCGTTCAAAACAAAGCGGAAAGTGACGGTAGACGGTTGGGATATAGAAGAGGAGGAAGAGGAACGCAAACTCCCAACCACCAGACGACATCTGGAGAGGATGCACCGTGTGTTCCGTAACAACCTTTCGATGTGTCTCCTGGCCTTCCCCCAGTTCACTCAGTTCGATGCCTCGAAGCATGATCTGGATGACTGGTATGACTGGTTTTGGGGCCCGGACATTGCGGGACGAACCCCAGCTCCATCGGAAAAGACGCTTCTCTACGCCGAACGGAATGCGTGGAGAGCCATCCACACTCTGGTCTATGAGGGTAAGTCGCTCAAGGAGGCCATGATGGAAGTCCGTGCGGATGCCCTCTTCTGGGCCAGGGAAGTCTACGAGCGTGTGCCTCGGCCTGGTGAGAAAGGTTCGAAGGGCACTCCGAAAGGTGAGAAAGGCAGCCCCCCTGCAAAGTGGCCGGGTAAGGGCTCTTGGAAAGGGAAGCAAGCTTGGTCGGTGTACCAGCCCTTCCTCAAGCAAGCCACCAAGGGCAAAGAAGGCAAGAAGGGCAGCCCCAAGGGCAAGGGAAAGGATACCTGGCCCCAGAATTGTCCAGGAACAATCCGAAGGGCACCCCCTTCTGCAGGGATTATCACATCAAGAAGCAGTGTCCTGGGAACGTCCACAACTGTCCTGTCACCAAGGATGGCTGGGTGTGCAATGCCCCTCCGAATGAGCACAGCCCAGACAACTGTCCTTACAAGTGAGGACTTCCAGTCCCAGGTGCCTTCGGCCCTGAACAAAGAGAAGCGTGGGAGGCGGTGACACACGTTGGCCCCTCCACATCAGGTGCCCATGGCCCTGACCGGGAACAAGCACGTGACAGGTCGCGATCTTTTTGGGGGGAAGCCTGTCTCCTCGCCATGTGTGGACCCTGTGCATGAGGGTCTGCAGCCCTCCAGTAGTGCTCTCTCGGATGACAAGCCCTTCTCTCTCGGGCTTTGGATTGAGAGGCATTACCCAGGCTGCAGACTGCTCTCCTGAATGGCTTAAAGGAGTCCCCGACCGCCTGGTCCGGAGACTCCAGTGGTTTCCTTCCAAGTGCACTGCCAGCATTCCTGAGGGCGCCGTCATTTTGCCTATTGCGGGCCGGGATGATGCCTCATCTCTGGAAGCGATCCTCCATGCCCAAGCTCCGGAACTCTCCTCGAGAGTTCTGGCCCTTGATTCCTCTAGGAAACCCACTGGTTAATGGCCTTAATGACACCCTGTTCGGGTCGCTCTGTGTTTCGGCGCTGCAAGGACACATCTCCTTTGTGGGAGGATGTCCGGACCTCAAAACCTGGGGTTTAGATAGATGGTTTCAGGACTCGGGTACTTTCCATGCGGTTCGAGCCCGCTCCGCAGAGAATGCCTGGGGCATAGCCGCTCTTCCGGAGGAGACTTTGCGCTCTGCAGACGAGGAAAGCACCCTGCTCCTTAGGTTCCTTCTGCTTGCATGGCTCGCCTTCAAGGCGGCCTCGCCCCGTGCTGCCCCTAAGGTCTTTTGCTTCCTGGACTGGGCCACTCCGGCCTTACGTGCTTGGACCTTAGATCTAGGCCTTGAGGTTCTTCATTTCGATCTTTGCTCCTTTGGATGGGTTGCTAGTCGTTTTTTAGAGCGGTCACGAACCTTCCCCTCCAATCCTGGGAGGGAAGGACCTGCGCACATACTCATCACCTCAAACCTGATAGTCCCGTGCCTGGGGACGCCCGGCGACCGGAAGCCATGCTACAGAGTATTGCCTCGAAATGCTTCGGAACACGGTCCTCGCTGGGCAGCTCAAGGGTCAGCACCCATCGGGGCGGCTGCTCCACCCTCCCTACCCTCGCTGGGAGGGAAGCGTCATGATGCTGGGTCTCCTGGTGCAGGTGCCCATGCAGGCGATCACTTGCTCGCTGCGGCCCCGCTGATTCAGAGAAGCTTTTTCTAGACGATGCCACAATGAGAGTGGCCCATGGTTTTAAGGTTAGGCCTCTGAGGGACGGAGGTGGTAAGACGCATGGGACTGAGGGCTCCTGCTCTGGGAAAGTTCATCCGGGAAAAGGCCGGGCCCCTGGTCCCCTCCTTCCTAGCCTCCACGGCCGCTGGTGCCAAGCAACATCCTTTCCCGGATTCTGTTCTCAAGGAAATTCGGGATTTTATCATGCCTCAGCACCCCCAACCGGATGCAGGACAGCCCTTTGACTTGGATGTTATCAGGAAACTCCTGTGCGACATCCAAGATGTCGATGCTGAATTCCCGCTGATACTCAAGGAAGGGGTCCCTCTGGGAGTGGACACCCCTACTCTCCAATCTCCGGGCGTTTGGCCTCTGAAATCAGAGATCATTGGAGAAGAGTGGGGCCCGGTGGAAGCACCACCCCCCACTGGCCATGCTAACTACTCCTCCGCTGACACCTTTAGGGAGGAGATTCGGGCTACCTTCGTGGAAGAAACTCCACTGGGTATGGTCATCGCACCATGCACGCGTGCCGAAGCTGCAGCGCACTGCCAGTGTACGGAAGATGAGCTCTGCCCCTGCCCCATGGCGGGGATTGATGAGTCGGACAAGATCCGTTCCATCTTTGATGGCTCCAAGGGAGGTGCTAATCTCCGTATCCAACAGAACACAGTGGAGAAAACCACGGCTCCGACTGTCATGGACTGCGTCCAGTGCCTACATTGGCTTCGGGCATCACGTTCTCGTGGGAAGCCAGGTGCCTATGGCCCTGAGCCCGGGGAACAGGAGACCACGGATGCCCCTGAGTCTCGTGAAACCACCCCTGAGATAACCCGAAACGGGACAGTCCCTCTGAAAAGGAAGACTCCAGCGCCGGCTCCGGCCGACCCTGGTGCTTCCCTGGCTCTGATGACGAGTGGATCCTGCTCAAAGCTGACGTGACTAAGGCACACAGGAGGATCAAGATTCTCCTCCGAGAATGGCGTTACCAAGTGGCCCAGCTTGGTGAGGAATGGTGGGTTAACACAGTAGGCACTTATGGGATGGCCAGTGCCCAGCTCTACTGGGGACGGATGGCTGCCATCCTCCTAAGGATTGTGTATGCCGTTTTTCCCGAGGTCGACTGGGGTTTCGTCTTTGTCGACGACTTTGCCTGGCTGCTCCGTAAATCGAACTCCCCTCTCTTGGCGACGGCGGTTTGCTTGCTGTTGCTTGCCCTCGGCACTCCTTTGGGCTGGCGGGGAACCTTGCTTGCTGAGGTCAATACTTGGCTGGCTTTGTCATTGACCCAAAAGGGCCCTGTGTGCAGATGGCCCGAGACAAGCACCTGCTTGTTATTGGCATTCTTGAAGAGCTCAAACGCGGTAAGGTCATGTCGGCCTCTCAGATCGCTAGTGCTTTGGGTAGGCTGCAGTGGGCGACAACGGCCTGCCCCCTCACTAAGCCTTTTCTCCAACCCTTTTGGGCTTGGAAGAAGGCCTGCCTGACTGCAGGACGTCCTGGCAAGCTGATCCGTGCACTCCCGGCTCTTCTCCTCTCTCTTTTTGACCGGAAGTTCCGACAGGCATCGCCGTATGCCCCGCTTGCCATTTGGTCAGGGGCAAGTGATGCTAGCGCTTCGGATGCATGATGGCAGCGCCTATGTAGGCGGCTGGGTTTCCAACGTGGACTCCCCGTCCAAGTCGGAAGTCTTCTGGTTCCACTACCAGGTCACCGTGGAGCGGCATCCATGGGCCTTTGATAAGGGCTGCCCGAAAAAGCGCATTGCTGCCCTCGAGATGTTCGGCACTCTGATCCTCTCTCACTTTCTCATGGAGAAGGCGCCTGCGTTCATCCCGAACCTCAGGCTCCCCCTGGTCAGCGACAACCAAGGGAACGTGTACTCGCTCCTGAACGATAAATCCAAGAGGATGCCAACATCTGTCATCCTCATGGAGATCTTGTACCAGCTGCACCGGCATGGCATGCAGCTTGCTCCCCCCCCACGTCAAGCGCGACTTCAACACGTGGGCTGATGATCTGACTCATCCCAACTTTCAAGGTTTCACTCCATCTCTCTGCTTGCCGGTGGAACCCGTGCTCAAGCATTTTTCCCTCATTCGCTCTATCTTGGAAGATCGTCTTTTCGACGACCCATCGGACCTCACCCATGGGCCCGCGCAGGGCGCCCGGTGAGGATGTGGCTGCCTCCTGTACAGGCTTCTTTCTGGACGGCACAAGATTTTGGAACTTTCACTTCTGTACAAGGAGGGTTCCCGATCTCCAGGTGCCTTAGGCCCTGAAGGAGGGGACCCTCCTGTACTTTGAAACGGCCTTTCTCTAGGCTGAGGTCCCCGACCGAAGGAACATTCCGGGAGTCGGCAGCCACACCAATCCACCATGCAAAAGAGGGCTTGCGCGCATGGTGCTTTTTGGTGTGCCATTTTCATGCGGATATCTGACATAGTTCGAAGTTCACTATGCCTTGATTGTGAGATCTTTCACGCTTGTGTGTCTGTTTTGGCCTCTTGCTGATGTTACACCAGGCACACCATACGTCCTTGATGCCGTTGTGTTTTCGGATACTGTGATGCGAAGGCTGTGGATGTCATCTTCGAGAAGAAGCCTTTGGGTTTCAGGTTTGTCCGGAACTTACGCAGTGGTACAGTCGAACCTCATCACATTGGCCTAGCAGACCTTGATGGCCTTGCAAGGCATCGGACAAAACCCCGATGATGCTTGACAAATTTGATTTGCTGTAGCTGTGATCCCAGAGCGTGCTGGGATACTGTATCGTTCAGGACAGTGTCCGCCATCAGTGACACGGGATGCGTCAAGGAGAAGGGTCTGGACGTGCAGGCTGGACGGCGGCTCTTTTGTTTGGTCACGGCAGCCATGCGCACAAGTCAAAGCTTGTTGAGCATCTTTTGAGGTTGGCTGGAAAATCAAGGCGCTCAACGACAACAATGTGCTGGATGTGGCGCCAAAGGAAGCCATTGACAAGTTCCATTCCTCTCTCCAGGATTCACTGCCGGGTTTGAGGATCACGTTCCTCAACGACAGGGAAGAAGCTCCTTAACAAGCAATGGTTGTCATGCGGCGAACTTCTGCATTGACTGCCCTACTTCATACGCATACTATACTCACACTTGCCAGGCAACTAACTGAAGGCCAAGCACGCCCAATATGTTTTCAACTTGTCGACGACTGTTGTGGTCTTTGTTCGGACGAAGGATGCTTAGATTTCTTTTGTTCTTCCTTGCCTTTGCTGGGGGTAGCTCCTTTGCTGTTAGCTTTATTCTTGGAACTGAATTTGTTCCAGCAGCCTCGCACTTCCGATCTTCAATGCGCAGTATAAAGATTCTTGTGGAAGTGTCGTAGCGGTTTGAACAAGAAGTATCAAGAAGTGCTTGTTCGCGCATCCCTGAAGGGCGTAGAGCACTTAGCAAAGACACAGAACATCACAGAACAATTAAAGTCAACAGCCCGTTCCGTCGCGCTAGCATCGCAAACGTCGGTAGCATGATCATGCTAAGTAAGTAGGGGCTGCATCTGTTGACATTTTTTGCTAGATGAAGAGGTGTCTGGTCGGTTGCTTCTTGGACCTGATAGCATCCAAGGCTGTGGATGTCACCTTTGAGACGAAGCCTTTGGGATTTAAGTTCGTACGGAGCTTACAGAGTTCCCAACACCAACGTGTCGTGCGGAATGAGAAGTGCCTGCAAGCAAGCGCGGCTGCAAGGTATCGGACAAAACTCCGATGATGCTTGCCAGATTTGGTTTTCGGCCGGCTGTTCTCAGCGCGCTTGTGGTGTCTGTCAGGACAGTGTCCGCCATTACTGACGCTGGATGCGTCAAGGAGAAGGGTCTTGACGTGCAGGCTGGAAATCTATCGCCTCTCAACGGTCCAAGCTCAGAGGCTTTTTAGAGTCTTCTTCTGTTCGTGATTGTGCACTCTGGACCAGCTCATGTGGACTTGTCCACGGTTGGAGGTCGGATGGAAAATCAAGGCGGTCGACGGCAACGAGGTGCTTGGAATGGCTCCCAAGCAAGCGTTGGACAAGTTCATGGCATCTCTCAAGACGTCTTTGCCGTAAGACAAAAGCGCATCTGATTGGTGTCTCTAGCATGGCTTGGACCGGGCGTTAGGGATCATGATACAGAGGGACAGCTCTTAGAGGCTAACGTACATCGCTTGGCCCAAGCCTGAGTAGTTGAGAGTTTTCAATTCGCACGACGCAGATCACTGACCCTGCAGTTGAGCTGCACACGGTGTTGCAAGAGCTGTCCTTTTCCACGCATTTTGCAGCAGAAGGCTCCCGGCAAAACTGAACTCCACGCCTACGCTTGATGTGAGCTGCTTGATGCAGTGCCGCGAGCCTTCCGCATATGGCGTGCCACGGTGAACTCCTAACCATCCGTCGCAGTGCAGACCGACGTGTGTAGACATCCGATATTTTTTGCACACACATCCACGCACCCATGCACACCCACACAAGACACACACAGACGTGTAGATCCCGGTCGACGCCGGTTGTCTCTCATTCTCAGTTGTCCGGTCCTCAATTGTCAGCATTGTTTTCCTACTTTAGATTTAAACGGTGGAGCCTGTGAAACCTTGTGGGTCAAAAAATTGCAAGAAACTTGATAGTGACACTAGAAGATGAATGTGATCACATCATTATTGGATCTCAAGGCTGAATATACATATATATATATATATGTACATAACTCTCCGCAAAGTCCAACGAGTGAAACTGGCTCCAGGAACAGAGCTATTCGTCCATAGCTCCTGCTACCCATTCCGCTAGCTTCGTTGGCTGGCATCACGGAATAGGCTGCCAGCCCCCTGCTTCTCTTCAGATATGCAAAGACTGTAAAGACTCAAAATCCTTGGATACAGGAGTTGCACACACACACACAAACACGCACACACACACACACACACACACACACACACACACACACACACACACACACACACACACACACACACACACACACACACACACACACACACACGCGCACACACACACGCGCACACTGATGGATTCGGCCAAGAGTACGAGTGCAAGAGGAAAAAAGAGAGGCATGTTGTTGCAAAAGCTTGTCAGATTGCGGCAAACGTGCAAAGCTTTATGCTCAAGCAAAAGTTGGAAACCGTAAATGCACTAATCTTGCTGCCTCAGGGGGCCAGCGTTTTCTAATCTGGCTGCCTCAGGGGGCCCAGCTTGCAGGTACACAGTTCAGCGTCCTGAACTGCTTCCCACTCCATGGCATAGCTTCGTTGCATTGGGTCTGCCAAGGAGTGCCCAATGCCCCTGCAACAGTTGATTTGGTAAATGTCCAATGTCTGATTATGTTGAAAAGCAAAAATTGCAAACAGTGTAGGAGTGACCCTCTGCTCCCATGTGCTAGGGAGGTTCACACACACACAGCCCCAAATGGGGCTTACATGCTTCAAGTAGAGTACCATGGAAGGCCGGGCTCGGCAGCCTTTCGTTTTGTCATACGTTTGCTTATACCAACCGACAAAAGCATGAACACTGAATGCAAAACAACATGTACATGATGTGTGCTCAAAGCGGTGGCATCCTGACGTTCCTATGCGCAGGCTTTTTTGGTCGTGCGAAGCGGATCTTGCAGCACTCATCCGTCCTGAAAATTAGGGTCCAACAGCGAGTCTGTTGGGACAGTCACTCATGATCTTGAAATGGCAGCGACACCTGAATCCTGCACGTACCAGCATTTTAGCACAAGCGGTTTTTGACCGCTTGTGCTGAACAGTAGGATGCACAATATCATAAGGTGCAATCGAGTCAGAAGACCAAGGATCTCGAGATGGAGATCGGTGTTGTTCTTCAGCCAGGTGTGACGTTGCCGTAGGTGACGCTGATGATGTTGAATGCGAAGACCGTGTCCTCTTTCGTCTTGTAGTGTGTAGGTGTTTGCGTCGTTGTTGTGTTGTGGATTGGGATGGTGGTGAGCTGTTGCGTGTTTTCTTTGTTTTCATGACTGTTTTGTCCTTTTTGTCTTTGTTGTCTTTCTTCTTTTTTGTCCTCGTTGTGTGCTTTGTTTTTTGCTTGTGTGTGTGACTGACTGCATGGGAGGATGTGGTGGTGTCGTCCTTCCTCAAGAAGGCATCAATCTCTTCGGATCCCCATAGGCTGCTGTCGTCATCCTCGTCCATCTGTGTGCGATGCTGTCCTAATGTGTTTCAGCAACTGTAGTTCAGAGAAATGGCTGCGGAGTCACAACTGCATTGAGGCATGTGCATACGCTGATCTTCAGAAGAGAGAGAGAGAGAGGTACACAGAGACATCAATTGATTAACCGCGCAGACCTGCATGAACTTTCGACATGATGCTCTTAATGTTGAACCTCATCAGATATGATGGAGTTCGCAGCACAGCTTTGCTGTGTGATTGTTGGCTGCCGGGGGCAGCAAATGTGCATCTAATTGTCAACTCAGCAATGCTGCTCACGGAGTTCTTGATCGCTTTCGCTTGTTGGATGTAGGAGTTGATGTAGTAGATACTGTCTCCTTTTGGGTAGGAGTCGTTGATGTCGGACGCTGATCAGGTTGCTCCGAATGCTTTCGTATCCACTCTTGAGATGCGATAAAGTACTCTCGCCACCATGAAGAGCCGTTGGTGGCCCAATGCCATCTCCATTGTGATGCCGTCGGAGATCGCGATCTGGTGCGTTGTTCCATGGTGCTAACACAACTGGTTGTTTTTCAAAATGCTGCGGGAAATCATGCATCAATCGCTGCATAACAAACATATGTGAAGTGAGTGCACTGACTGTAACAATTGGCAAAAACGACTATCATTGTTTTCACCGTCCGCTGCAAAGCGCCCGATGATGGTATGAACATGGTTGATCACCTATTGCTGCGAAGCTTCGAGCCGTTCCACTCGTTGCTTTAGCTCTGTGATCTGCCGGGTTGTTTGAAGAATAAACTCGGCTAATTGGTCGCGTAGCGCCCCGTCACTGAATGTGGAAGGTTCGCTTCCAGTTTCAGAATCATAGTCCCGATGCTGTGTCAAAATCTCCATGATGGCCTCAGAGAGAGCTTCACGTCGTGCCTCATCGATGGGCGGTGAAGCTGTAGTCGCTGTGTTTGTCGGAAAAGATGCTTCGCTCATGGCTCTATGTCGGGATTCCAATAGGTGTCACTCTGAGGCATAAAACTTCAGAAGGCAAAGTTATGGTGCATATCCGCAAGCAACATATGTTCAAATGCAAGATGTGTGCACTACCTGGCTCTTTTTATACCAGCGGATTCAACAGCACATTCAGGACCAGTCTGGTGTGTTTTGCCTCATAAGGCTCTCGAGAATATCAAGTTGCTGTTTGCACGATGCCATAATGGCAGTGGTGGCTTCGTGTTGAGTAGTCAACACCGTTGTGGCCTGCTGTATCAAGCGTTCCAGCTTGGCATTCGATTCAAGCAACGAATTGTGAAACTGTGTTAGTAACTCAATAATCTCAGCCGATGAATCCGGACCAGAATGAGGCGGAGGTGGAAATGGCGGAGTCGCCGGTGCAGCCACTGCTGCGTCCTGCTGTTCTTGCGGATCTTGGTGTTGCTCTTGGTAATCTTGGAAATCTTCGTCTTCTGCAACACGTAGAAACTGAGAGCGTAAAAGCGCCGGCTGTTGAGTGTGGCTGCCAACAGCAGGCTGCTCGTTGCGGCGTCTGCTGTGCTTGGAGATGGATGGCCGAGGGCGGCCGCTCAGCGCTTTGTGGCTCGGCTGCAATCTGCCAGTCATGGCACTTTTATACATGATGATGCCTCAGTTAGTCCCTGTAAATGGCTGCGGGAAACACTGTGTTGGTACAAGGCGTCTCACATGTTGCAAAGTTGCATGGCTCTGGACGCACGCACTGCAACTTGGCACAGTGTTTTTGCTTACAGCTGTTGATCAGTGTAGCCGGCAGCGATGTACAGATCGCGCATGGCTCGAATGGCTGATGTGGCCTCGCTGCATGGTGTTGTCACTCTGCGTACCATGCGTGTGCGGGCCTGAAAACTGCTGCGAAGTGTTGCAACAGAGGTCGCCGACTGTGGGTGTAAAATATCCGCCTTGTGTAAAGTGCAGTGATGCGTAAGGCTGCTGTGCTGAGGGTTTATGGCGAAACCCAGGAAAATGTTGGCCGGTTCAGTTTCAAGCTGAACCGGTGGTTTGTAGAAAGATGCGTCAGTAAGCTGTGCAAAAGGAGGCAGTCGGGTCAGCTGTGCAGGCAGTAGAAGGACGCGGTTGTCGACGTATCTGGTAGCAAAAAAGTAAGCTTGATCCTGCTTGTTGTGGTCTGGAAAATGCTTGTGGTTCGTGAAAAGTTGCTTGTATGTGTGATGCCAACACTGCTCTTCTACAGCAACCACGATGTTGCATAAAGCTGGGCTGCAGGGCGAGCCCATAGGTGCTCCACGAAATTGCTCAATGAGTGATGTACCGACAGTGAAATAGTTGAGCCTGAGCACTGCAATGATGAGTTGTGGTATGTGTTGTAATTGTATGCAAAGTTTGTTGCCGGAGGAGGCTTCCTGCTGCTTTTGTCTGCTTTTACCTCTGTGGACTCGATGTGTGGGGTCTTTCTGTGAGTGGTCAATGAAGAATTTGGAAGAGTGTAGTGGGTTCTTCTCTCTGTACCATCGAACCATGATGCTGTATGCTGAAAGAAACCGGCTTTGATCGACCGATGTAAAGAAGCCAGCTAAATCCTGATTGTACAGGATGTAATCTGTTGAATCGTGCAGTTTCCTGCGCTGATGCAAAAAGAGCGCTGTTTGTTTGAGCTGTGTTATCCCGTCTCCTTGGTGAAAGGAGTTTGGGCATGCTTGAAGGGTCATCAGCTGCAGTACGTCTGCTAAGGCTTCCCATAATTTCCTGCCCATGGTGTCGATGAACGCCACTATAGGACGTCCTTTCGTGAATTGCTTCTTTCTTTTCGGTAAAATGTAGGCACGTGGGATGCGTCCCCACTGTGGAAACGCCCATGTGTAAGCTGGTAGAAGACTGCGGATGTCTGTGTAGACATCGAAGTGGTGTTGTAGAGGTTGGCGCTGCGACATCCGAAAAATCTCTTT